CTGAAAATAAATTTTGTGGCATATATCTGATACCATATAATGTGTGTGTGGGGGTGTGCGAGTGGTGGGGGGTGTCAATACTCCGATGTTTTAAGGGAGGTTTTCCTTTCATTTTCATGACATCGTACCTTAACACCAACAAAACATTTCCAATATAGGCCTAACTTTATTACTGAAGAACATTTTATTAATTAAAATAGGCCTACTCGCCTAGAAAGTTAAAAAAATAAATTTATCTTTACGTACCGTGATGTGTGCACAGGAAAAGACTATGAAGATTTCAAAACTGATTCCAGGAAAATATATTAATTTCCTAGCGACTAAATATTCCTTTCCTCCGTATGTAGGCCTAATACTTGTGCAAATGCTAGAAATAGCCTCAGCTGCTATAGCATAGTTTATACAGAGTTCTGCCGTTAAGTTTCGTGATTAGTAGGCCTACTGGCTTAGGCATTCGTAGTTTGACTACCGGTACGCTTCACTGAGCCTCATCCATCGCGCTCAAAGCCTGAGTGAAAGCCGCACTTATATTTATTTTTCTACTTCATTTTTCGATTAACGCTTATTGAAATGCCCTCTAAAATGTTATTCTAGGACAAGAAAAATCGCATACCTGTATGTTAAGAAATAGAAAATTTCTACTGATTCTTTAGCTGACATCGGAAACTTGTATATAAAAATCAAACAGTATTCATAGAAACAAAAATTCGTCTTAAGAATAATAAACTATCCTTTGTCACGGTTAAGTGGTCTTATGGCATGCAAGGTTAAACCATAAACCATAGACATACGCCAACTTCTTGCTAGATAGTTCACTTTAGATTATTGTGTATTATGATTGTCATAAAGGGCATTTTCTAACCAGTTTGTGCTAGCTACATTACGGTACGCATCCTCTTAAAATATAGTGCAATAAATAATAAATTAATAGACCTATATACTTTAGCTCGTCATTAAGCAAATAATGAATAAATATTAAATGAAGGTGCAGTTTTAATATTTAATGACTTAATCTAGCTTTACTTTAAGGGAGAGTTCTACAATGAACATAGGCCTATTTATATATTTAAAATAGTACGGTACGATTAATTCCATTCTTATTAGTAATGTATATTTACAACTCCATTGTGCTCGGTAGTGAAGAAAGAGCGTTGCAAAGTGGTTTCACAATCAAAAGTATTGCTATACTCAATTATACACACATGTTGAAGAAAGAAAATTTGAGAAATGTATAGAAAATACAATAAAAATTAACTCTTTTACGCAAAATAAATGGAGTTTTTGACATATTTCTCATTTATTATTTTCCAAAAGTTACGTACTTCAATTCAAGATCAAACACATGAAAAAATACTAAACTCTTGAATATTAATGAGTGCATTTTAAATGGCTACTAAGTTAGGCGAAAAAAGTAATACAATACAGTATATTTATTTCCTTATGTATCCATTATATTTGAGGCTGGATGACGGATTAAAGGTATAGCGGGGATTTACCTGTAATTATGCAGATAATCCTCAAGCTACCAATAGCCATTTTATAACCGATAAGTCAATGCTGCAGTTTGTCTTTTTGTTATAAATCATTCACTTTTACATCAATGAAAGTGTTACATTGCCCAATTGTATTTACTAACGGTAAGCCTTAGGGCAACAGCATAACAGGAAGTTGTGTCTCGCACAATGAATATAATAAGCTTAGCCCTATTCAATTTCAACATGTAAGACTCTATAGATTCGCGGAGTATACTTGATTTGCATGGTTACAACATGGAGGAAATAAACAATTTCTGTTTCTGTTTCTTTCCTCCGTGGTTACCTGGGGTGGATGCAGGATTTGGCGGTAGGGGGTGCGTGAGAGTCCACACCACCTGAGACCCCACCATGGTTGAGGCTGGGGCGATAACATTTTGAGCATATGGACCTCTAGGTGCCCGGAAATTGCACTCTAATAGGGGGCGCAGGCGGGGGGGGGGGGGGGGGGGGGGGGAAGCTTAAGCCCCCCCCCCATCGGTTTGGTCAACCCCCCCCCCCCCCCCACCGGCTAAAGCTCTTCGGGCAATCGGACCAAAAAAAAGGCCTAGTTTTCCCATCCCAGTCATTTCCAGCCATCTAGAAATCCCAATTTTTTTTTAAATCTTGTTTTGGGAGGAGGGGACATTCCCTCCTATACCAACCCCCGGCCCTCATATAACGCTGCGCACTATAGTTGCAACCATAAAGACTTATCCCCCAGTCGGACATCTTAGCTCTCCCCTCCCCACCCCATAAATTATATCCTAGAGCCGCCACTGCTCTCACACCTTTACAATCTTACCTGTAATTCATATCAAAAATACAATACAACGATTATTATTTTTCTTACAATTTAGGGGGTGCGATCGGACCGTCTGCACCGAACCACCCCCCCCCATCTAGATGTGTATAAGAGACAGCACTCTTGCATCCGCCCCAGTTTACAATAATCACAAAATTAAAGCTACAAACTTTGTATCGGGGAACTTAGGCCTATATTTAAATGAGCGATATGGACCTAATGGTGCATTAGCATTTTTAGATAATTAGTAATACTGTAATAACTAATATGACTTGCAGATTTAGCTTAGCAGGTCGAATTGATCACAGGCAACCATGTGATAGGTCTTGAGTTTTACTATTATAATTTTTTTTCCCGAACATGTTTTTGTCTAGTTACGGTATTTATTTTCAGGCAACCATGTGATAGGTCTTGAGTTTTACTATTATAATTTTTTTCCCGAACATGTTTTTTGTCTAGTTACGGTATTTATTTTCAATTTACTTCAAAACGTCTCTAAAAGAGGAGACATACAAATAACAAACAAATATATAAATATTATTATCAATCTCTCAACATATACATATCAATATATACATACATA